CAAGAATGCTAATATCCAGAACTTCCGAAAAAAACGCTCAATTACATTCTAAAACTGTGGTAACATCCTGAAACCCCGATTTTTGCTAAGCCGAGTTGTAGTAGTTGCAATTTTGTCCCGAGATTGTAATAATTACCATTTGGTCCCGAGAATTTGGCTTAGCAAAGATCGGGGTTTCAGGGTGTTACAACAGTTTTAGAATGTTATTGAGCGTTTTTTTCTCGGAAGTTTTCGATATTAGTCTTTTCCGCCTTTAGATGAGGAGGATGATGATGGTGGTGATGTTGTTGGTGATGATGATGGTGATGAGAATGGTGACGAGAACGAGGAGTTGACACCGGATGCGAGAAGTGACTCGATATTCAGTGCCGAGAATGAGGATGATGCTACTCTTGCTGCTTCTGCTTCGCCGAGAAAGAAGCGTGGCATCAAAATCACAGATGAAACCCGAAAGGTTTGTTGGAAAAATGTGATTTTTTCCAGTTATACCCCTCAATCAGTTTCAAAATTCAGTTTTTATTGCTGAATGTATATAAGGTTAAGTGGAAATTTTGTTAGAAAATACAGAAATGGATGATAGAAAAGGTTAAAAAAGAGTAAAAAAGGGAAAGATGTAAAAAGAAGTAATAAATCAGATAATAAATGTTTCGGTCCATTAAGTCGTATGCATTTCTTACCATTACCACAGTTGGACTTCGTCAGTACGACGACTGTGGTAACAATATATTTTTTAGTTAAGAATGAATGACGATGATAATTCCCGATGATAATGAATGACGATGATAATTCCCTGATACTTTGATCAGTTGATGTCGTTCCGTTTCTTCTCGTCATCGACGCAGCTTAAAATCTCCATTCTTCTCCGTTTTGCGCTTCTCTCATTCTCACATAATTCCATGTAGCCGTTCAAGCGGATTCTTCCATTACACCTTGGCTGCCTTCTCTGTGTTCTTCCAGTACTACATAGACGAATACCATCCAGAGATCGGTTTTGCCGGCCTATTTTCGCTCAGATTTTTGTCACATGATCAGCCTAACTCTTTTTCCTGACGTACGTTGCTTTCGTTCATCCCAAACTGAAATCGAAGTGCTTCGTTGAAGATCTCCTGCAGCTACTTCGCGTTGGCTAACTTTCTTTTTCTTCAGCAATCGTGGTATTCCATGTTTCGCTTCCATAAAACAGCTGGTACTGTGGGATTGAAGAAAAATCTCTTTTTATAGTAACTGTTGTGCTAGTGGGGCATCTCATCACTTGGTATTCTATATTCATCCGCACTGCTTCTCCGCAGTAGTTATTAGCTGTTTAAGAGCTAAACGGGCTTCTCAATTCGGGCAAACACGTGTTGTTTCGCTTGATTCCTCCTCCGTGGTATTCAGTTTCCATCGCAGTGGTGCCAAGCTCATTCAGCAATTCTACAATGATTTTGGGCTTTCTACGACGAACACAGTGCAAACTGTGGGAAAAAATTGGACTTATCGGACTCGGTTCACTCACTTTTCCGTAACCCTTTTTCATCTGCACTGCTAAAAGGCTTTCGAAGAACATGTACATCAGCTTGCTTCGCATCTCTATCGATTCTTATTTTTAAGAGATTTGTCGAAAAGAGTAATTTTTCGTTATTAACTTGTTGAGCTAGTCTTCAGTAGTTCGGATGCACATTGGATCGTTCCGTTAGCTTGAAAGAGTAGAAGCTGTGTTCGGACGGATAGAAAGCCTTCGTGAAAGCTATCGTTAGTACTGCTGTATTTAATGTGGTGATAATAATGACGATAATTCCTTGTGGGCCTAGTTTGCTGACACATTTTTCAATCTCTCAGGGTTGAACCTTTGATTTAGATCCGTCAGCTGAGAAACAGACTCATATAGATCAGTAATTCCGTTCCATTTGTATAAAAGGATTTGAGGATCGGACTGAAAATCATCTCCCTTCTCTTTTTTTTTAAGTCTTAAAAACTTTCTTTAGCTCTTTTTTTAAAAAAACCGGCATTTTTTTCAAAAT